TGCGAGCGCTTCGGGTGTTCGCGTTTAAAGTGGTTTCTCTTGACGCTGCTGCCCCGTTTCCTTCTGCCCGGGGATTCCTCCTCCGTGCGGTGCTTCATCCTGGTGCTGTTCCCTCCTCCTCCTCCCCGAGCCCCGTGGGCTCCTTTCTCCAGGTATCCAGGTGTGTTGGGGCTGGGATGGTTGTGGAAAGCTGGTGGATGCCGTGATCCTCGGCCGCCCCCGCAAAGAACATGGGGACTGATGTGTCCTTGGTTTCCTATGGATGCTCCAAGCTGGGGGGAAGGATGGCAATTCTGGATATCTGCTTAATTGCAGGTGGGAGGCTTCTTAATTGGTGTAATTATGAGGACCTGTCAGGCTCCCTGGCAGCTCTCTAGTTAACCAAAGCTCTCCAGGACTTTTCCATCAGCAGCTTTTGAGGCCCAGCGAGGCGAGATGAACTTTCTGAGCCTTGCCAAGCTTCCCCGAGTCAGCCAAGTGTCTCCCACAGTAAGGGGCATTTTTTGGGGAAAAGTGTTAGTTGTCAAAGCTTTAACTGAGAGTTTAAACTACCTTTTGGCCCCTCATTGGGGAGCAAAGGCTCTTTCTAGAGCTGCGGCCTGCACACGAGGTTGCCCTAGTCCAGGTCTGATGAGGAAACTTTCCTTAAATAGAAGAGGCTCAAGCCAGCCCCGTGTGACACATGTGCGGGAGGAATCCAGTGTAAACAGGGCCCCAAGGCCACAACCAAGCGCCTTGTGGCCCTCCCGGTGTGACGGGGGCCGGCAAAACAGGGGAGGGTTGAGAAGGTACCTGGCGCCGGCAGCGCTGCCGTTATCTCCTTTTGCTCCCTGTTTCTGCTGTTTTCGTAGCCCAGGCGCAGCCTGGATGCTGAGCGCGTGTTGGAGTGTTTACGTAGCTATGTAAATATTTTAATGACGGTTCTTGGGGCTGGAGCGCGGCGCGCAGCCCCGGCCCGCCGCCCGCGCGGTGTTCGAGGGCTCCCGCGAGCGCGCGGGGGACTCGGTTCCACGTGCTCCGAGCCTGAGGGATGATCCTGCCCAGATGTTGGCTCCCAGGAGCTGCCCAAGTTGAATGTCAGCTCCCTGTAGCGCCTGTTTGCCCTGATCTTTAGAATGAACCAGGCCCCCATGGGCTGCTTTTTGTG